GGTGAGTGATCTTTGTGCCCCCTGGTCACAGGTCACTGGGCCTTAACAGGGCCATGTCACAGAGCATTTTTGTTTCTGAATGATCCTATTTTACGCAGGAGTATACAGCTTGGGCAATTAGCATAATCTTAGAATTAAAACCGGACAGTCTTATGAGTCTACTCTTTTCCTTTTTACTTAATTTTGGTTTTTATTTAATAGGAACTTAAAAAACAAACATACGGTAAGGTATAGGTAAGGGTATAGAAAATGATTTAAGATTGCCAAAGAATGAATTGAACGTGTAGTTTTTAGAAAACAAAATGACTGGGATGCCTGGGTGGTTCAGGATTTTGGCTCAGGTCATGATCTCATGAGTTTGTGGGTTCAGGCCCCGTGTCAGGCTCTGTTCTGACTTTGTAGAACCTGTTTGGGATTCTCTCTCTCTCTCTCTCTCCTCTCTCTCTCTCTCACCCACCCCTTCCCCATTTGCTCTTTATCTCTCTCTCAAAATAAATAAAAATAAACTTAAAGAAAATCAAATGACTGAGGAAGAGAGAAATTCATCACTGGAACATAACAGAGAGCCTAGAAGTAGCCCTGCTGAGGGCTAGAGCTTCGACAAAGGTTCAGAGATCATTCAGTGGGGAAGGGCAGCCTTTCAACACATGAGCTGGGGCAGTGGGACATCCACCAGCGGAACGAGAGAGAGGAACCTCAGTGTCCCATTATACCTGGAACAGAAATTAATTTTAAGTGGAGCACAGGTTTAAATATAAAACTATAAGACCTGTAGATGAAGATGTAGGAGAAAATCTTTAGGACCCAGGGCCTAGCTAAGACCCCTTAGACTTGATAGCGAAAGTAACATCCATGAGAAAAATGATGAAAATCACAGACTTGCGAAGACCTGTGAGGAGGACAGAGAATCAGTCAGGCTGCAGACGTGGTGGGGTGCTGTGTCACCACACACCTGACGGGGACCGCTGGCACACTCGCCTGTAGGAAAACAGTCCGGTTAGAAACTGGACAGGAGACATGAACAGATATGTTGCCAAAGAGGAGATATGGGTGGTGAATGAGCACAGGATTATTAGTCATCTGTGAAATGCAAGTCCAAGCCACATGAATGTCACTCCACATTTATCAGAATGGCGAACTAAAAACTTAGCAATACCACCAGATGTTGGCGAGGATGTGGAGAAATTGGATCTCTCATCTCTTGCTGGTGGGAATGTAAAATGGTGCGGCCACTCTGGAAAAGTCTGGCAGTGTTTTTGTAAAACTAAACGTGTACTTACCATATGGCCCAGCAGTCACATTCTTGGGCATTTATCCCAGAGAAATGAAAACTTATGTTCACAGCTTCTACACGGATATCCGTGGCAGCGTTATTCGTAAGAGCCCAAACCTGCAAATACCCCGGGTGCCCTGCTGCAGTTACAGGCTCACAGAACCGCGCAGCAGCGACCCCGGCCGACCTGGCGGTAGCTCTGCCCCTTGGATGATCTCGGGGGTTCTCCTGAGTACGAAAGCAGGTCTCAAAGGTCCTCAGCTGTGTGATTCCATGTCGGTACTAGTCTCAGTGCGAGAACCGTAGATGGAGAGCAGGTTCGCAGTCGCTGAGGGACAGAATGGGGCTGGGAGGCCAGGTGTGTCTAAAGGGGCAGCACGAGGCTGCTACTCGGCAGTGGTGGCAGAGTGACAGCGCTGTGACGTGGGTTTACACGTGGGGCCGACCCATCCACGACCACACGCGCACACACAGGTGCACACACAGTGGTGACAGAATCTGAGTAAGGACTGCATTCTCATTAACAGAAATGCTCCAGTGTTGATTTCCTGCTTTTGATCTCGTTCTGTAGGTTTTATAGCGTGTCACCACTGGGGACCTAGGACTTGATGTGGTACTTTTATTATTTCTGTAATTATTTCAAAGCAGAACCTGTAGGGGATACGTTTGTGTGTGTGAGAGAGAGGGAGAGAGGAGGGATCTTGCCCATGCACGCGCGCGCGCGCGCACACACACACACACACACACAGTGTACCACTACACCCTGTAAAGGATTTGTTACATGCAGTTGTCTTACAGTTATGGGGGCAGCCAAGCACGTGTGAAGTCTAGGGCAGGTGGACAGGAAGGGGGGGAGATGGGGATCACGCTGGCAGGAGCTGTTAGGCGTCTTCAAGACCAGGGAAAGAAAGCCTAAACCTCCTTTTAAAGGGCTCTTTGTCAGACCGGGTCCGCTCAGGGTAGTCTCCCGTTTGGTTAATTTAATGCCAGCCAGTCAGGACTTTTAATCACATCCTCAGAATTGCTTCACAGCAGATGCACATTAGCATCCGATGGATAATTGGGGACTGTAATTCAGCCCAGGCAAGAGGTTTACATTATTGTGGCAGTTTTCCCGTAATCAACCTTAGACAACTATTTCATTCTGACTAGTGGGATGTGGATGTTCCTTAATTTTTGAAAATGAAATATTCTTTTTATACAATTTGAGGTAGATATGAATACATTGCATTATTTGAAAGGGTATCATTTCTGGCATATTGTAACGTTGATATTTGAAAACCAAACAGATTCATTGCTTTCTTAAATGTTTCCATTATAATGTAAATACTATTATCCATTTAAAAGCACCCCATGAAGCAGCTTTCCACAGTTGAATTTCACCTTACTCCTTTTGCATTTTGAAAGTTCCTTCCCATCTCTTGCCCTCCCTGACTTCCTCCTCCTTTGCCACAGACACACGGATAAGAAATCGCAGCTGAGACGTGTGTTTCTGGTAGCCATGGGCTCAGCTCTTCTGGCTGACGTCCGACTACACTTTTAGAGTGTAGTTGAACAGAACAGCTTGTGTGTTACTGTGTGACTAATTTTTAATAATTCAGTGTCGTGAATGTGTTTTTGTGATGGATGAGGCTTTAGATTTAGCTAATTCTTGGATCCGTGGATGATAATGACTTATCACTCCAAGTGTGAGACAAGGTTCAGCCTTGGTCCTACTTCCATTGGTAGTTTTTAAAGTTTTAGGTGCTGAGAAACTTGGTTCACGTAGATAACTACGTGAGGTGAGGGGGCCTCTCAGCTCCTCAGGTCGTGTCAAGGGTCTTTGTAAGCGGTCGTCAAAAACTACCTCTGATCATCTGTGGCCTGAAAAGGTCCCTAGGTCCTCTGTCAGTTTTGTTGAGAGCAGGAATGGTAAAGCAGTAGGTTGCCCAGGGGTGTTTCGTCAGTCAGCAGAGGCACGGGTTTTCACGCCCAGACTGGTGTCTCAGAGTGGCCTCGCCTTCCCTCCTGGGGTTCTCGCATCCCGGAAGGACTGTGCACATTTGTGTCATTTTGTTTCAAGGTGGGAAAGGGGCTTTGTGAAAGGAAACAGAAGACACATTATCAAGCTGCCCTCTCAAAGGGAAACATTTTTGGGAAATATTATGTTGTGCAAGGTGAGGACTTGGACATTGCATTTTGAGAGCTGCCCACACCCAGGAGCCCCCTGAAAGTCTAGGATAACTCATTTACATTGAAGCTGGTTGCTTCAGAACATTGTTTCCTCAATCTTAGCAAGAATTGTTAGGGAGGAGAGGCATATTTACTCAAACAACTTTGCCAGATGGTGCCATGAATAAGTCTTAATCTGTTTCCCCCAGGACTTCTGAGACTTCTGTTGTGCTCCTGTCCATTGTGAATTCTCATTAGGGAACTGTTGTCACCCCACAGGGTCATCCTAGTTAGTCGCTCAGGGAGGAGAGGAGTGGAGATGCGTGTGTGTGGGAGGGGGTCTTTGGGTGGGGGGGAGCAGTGCTCCACAGAACATACTTCAGGAAAATACCAAATGCATGCAAACCATTCATCTCCTGTTTTGATACAGGAGAAGCTGAAGTCTTCAAAGCCTGTGTGTGGCCACAGCACCAAGTCGAAGGTCACCTACGTCACTTGTGAGGCCTGCCAGTGCATAGGTTGTAAGGATGTGGTGGGTTACCTTAGATGTCATCAAAGAAAACATACAGTCCCTAAAAAAATAATACTTTTGAATGAAATGCAATTGATTATGCTTTTATTTTAGAAAAACACCTCACAGTCCTGTGATTTACTTGAACATGAAATGGTGCCGTTTGTGACCCTGATTTGGGGAGGGGGCATTTAACAGCCATGTTGCTGTGATACTGGGCTACATTTTCTTATGTGCTTTTGGTTACACGAAGTCTTCTCACATGAAAGCAGTGGTTCTCCCAGAGCTGTGCAGTTCAAGAATAATGTATGCTCAGGTGGCATTGCCATGCATTTCCGGTGCTCCTCTGGCTCTGTAACTTCAGGAGAGCGTGCTCATACTTCCTGTGGCCAAAAGATTAATGACTGAGCAGGCTCCAGGAGAACCTTGAGATAAGCTGCTGGCTACTGCTTATACTCACAGTGCCGCCTCTAGAAGGTTCCCGGATAGGGCTCTGTTCTTTTCTATAATCATTTTCCTTCAAAGCAAAGACCGATGTGTGATCCACACACTCCCCTAATAGGAGGTGGAGGTGATAAATGTCAGGTGGTTTTGCCCACTGTCGTTCTGTTACGTTTTCCCCTGTCCTTCCAGAGCTAACGTTTTGGAACGATGTTGATAGGTTTGATTATGAAAGCCTAGGTCTGCCATGTAGGAATTCCTTGGGATGGAATGAGTACAAATACCGAGCCGAGTTTCACTCAGATGTGCTACTTCAGAAGCCTCACCAACTGTCACCCTGTGATCTCTTGCCCCATTCTGCTTAAAGGTGTAAATGTTCCTAACGTAACAGCAGTGAGGGGCGGTAAACTAGGGACCACGCAAAACAAAACAGTTCCCCTCTAGTTTATCCTAAGCCCAGCGTGAACAGCAAGTTACTTTAAATGTGACTTCTGTGTGGGGCCGCCTCCCTCCCGTAGTGCAGGTCATTGGATGCTGACTGTATTGAATTACTCTTGTGTATTCTTACAATGAATGTTGTTGTTTTAAGGTCTTCTTTTTCTTTGTGATTCTTTTGTTCCCTAGCGTCGTCCCCCAGACTACAGTAATACTCAACAATGATCGGCAGAACGCCATTGTAGCCAAGATGGAAGACCCCTTGAGCAACAGGGCACCGGATTCCCTGGAAAATATCATTAGCAAGTCAGTAGCCACAACACCAACCCCACCTTTCACTGCCACTGCCACCATGATGAGTCCCCTCGAGAACCACTCCACGTTCTGAGCTGGGCACAGCCGGTCGGTTGAGCCCGGCAGGGCGGCCCGCAGTGTTTGTGGTGGGGGAGGGCCGTGCTGCGTGCAGGCCCGCGTGCTGGTGTGCCAGCTGGAGAAGGGGCCGTGTTAAGGGGAGATGCCTTTGGAACTTCCGTGTCTGGTGGTCACGTGCGTAGTGGGGAGTTTGCTCTCTGTTTTCACAGCAGCCGGTGGAGCCTGTGTCCTCCTCCCTGCCCACCGCTTCCTCACGTGTGTCTGTCTGTCTGTACAGCCGCACGTCAGGTCAGCAGACACCTCCTTTTAAATTTGCTAAGTGATGAAGCCATTTTGAGGTGGTGATTTTTTTCCTCCCACCTTTTTCTTCTGACACACTGGCAATGTGACCTTGGTCAGAAGTAAGAGTGCATAAGAGGCATCGAGCTCAGCTTTTCCTGGTAACCTGCCCCAGGAGGGTGGTTTTGCTTGTTGTTTCCTGCAGTGTGTTCGCAGAGTTCTGTTTGCCTTTTTCTCTCCGTGACCCCTGCAGGTTGCTCCTGCCCCAGCTCTGCCCCGTTGTCTTTACTGTCCGAGCCTGGGCTCCCCGGGCCCAGCCGTGCCGTGGGCCTGCCGTGTTGGGTGGCGGGGGAAGACTTGTTGGTGCTCAGGGACTGAGGAGATCTGGCCGGTGGAGGAGAGGTGGGGTCGGGCGTGCCTCCCGCAAGGGCTCAGCTGGAGGTCAGCTGGGGTAGGCTGCTGCAGGATCAAGTTCAGAAGCTGTAGCCCCCTCCCTGCGGCACGACCACGGCTGGAAGCACGTTTTGTCTTTGTAGATGGGGAGCTTGGGCCTCTTCCCCTTCCCAGCGGTTAGCAGTCCCCGCGGAGGGGTGTGGAGGGGCCGTGGGAGAGGCACGTAGCATGTCTCCTGGTAGTAAGTGTATGTGTTCTGAGCCTTTTTTGGAGCTGGCGGCTTGTCTCCCGTTTTTCTGGCAGTTTCTTCTTGCTCCATAGCAGGACCCCGTCAGTGGTGAGAACAGCCCCCGGGAGAGTCTTGACTGGCTTCTCAGACCCACTCCAGTAGTTTTTGTTGGAGGGAATAGCTAGGAATGATCACGTGTTAACAAAGGCTGGGTCCCTTCTAGAAGGCCTACCAGTGTGGAGTGGACTGGGTCACTAGAAGTCTCCAGGCACACTTTTCTCTTCGTCCAGTCCTTTCCATGACACAGCCCTGAAAGTTGCTCTCACTCAAATGTCAGCATTTTATGGGATCCCCTCCATGATCAGAGAGCCGCCTCCTAGGCCTGAGTCACAGTGGGTTGTAGTTTTACTTCTTCTGCGATACAAACGTGTTTGTAAACTTTACGTTTCATACAGTTTCTTCCAACCCCAGACCATTTCGTGCGATTCGGTTGCTGTTACCCTGAGTAGAGAGCGCGGTGTGGGAAGACTTGCGAGCTGCTGCTTCGTGCAGTTAGGAGAGAAGCACGCAGCAGCCTCAGTGCTAGTCTCTGCTCGTTGCTTGTGCTGCTCTCACGACATTGGCTGGTGTTTTTGTTTCCCGCTCAGCGCGGTGCCCGGGAGACGGCAGAACACCATTGTGGTGAAGGTGCCGGGTCAGGACGACAGCCACAACGAGGATGGGGAGAGCGGGTCCGAGGCCAGCGACTCTGTCTCCAACTGCGGACAGTCGGGAAGTCAGAACATTGGGAACAACGTCACCCTCATCACCCTGAACTCAGAAGGTGCGCCTGCAAAGCTTCTTTCCTTTGCCTGAATGACAGTAGGTACAGTGTTCTGTTCTGTTTGTGTGTTTTTTGCTTTTTAGGAAAGTGATGCGGTCCCTCCCTTAGGATAAAGTCCAACTTGATGGTTTTCCAGCTTTATAGGGGTGCACGTGCGGTAGACACTGTGCTTCGAATTTTGAGTTTGGCTCTTTTCCCGGCCAGCGGTGTGCAGTCCCATCCTCCCTCCTGGCGCGGGGCACCACGATCGTGAGGTCAGCCACGCTGCACCCTGCAGCCATTCCGTCACCTTTAGCAGTGTTGGTGCGCTTGGTGCGTGCATTCCGTGAGTGGTTTCACGCATGGTGATCTGCGTGAGATCATGGTGAGATGATTCCGCCCAGCGGCAGGCTACCGTGAGTGCTGTGAGCAGAGTCAGGCCGGGCTAGGGCGTGATGTTTGGTAGGTTAGGGGCGTTAAGTACATTTCTGACTTAAAATGTTTCCAGACCTACGGTAGGTATTTTGGGACATAACCCCATCCTAAGTTGAGGAAGATCTGTGCGTGTTTACTGTTTTTAAAATGTGGTAGAAGACGGTGGAAATAACTCGGAATTTCATATCCTGAGGTCTCGGTAAATCCTGTGGGCTTTTCTGTGTGAACAGAAATGCTGTGACTTACAGTGCTCTCCTCCACTGCAGCACAGGGCCCTCCCGCACTCATGCATGTTCAGGCGGTTTCCGGAGGCTTTCTCATGGCACACTGCTGTGCTTCTGTAACCAGGAGCTGCCACGGCCTTTGAACAGAGGTCTCTCCACATCCCTGCTAGGGGCCAGACATCGGTGCCCAGAGGGGGGCTCTGCCACCTCCCACGAGAGACGGAGGGAGCTGCTTGGCGGGTGCCCGCACCTGCACCTGTTTCCCCCACACCGCGTCCCGTCCCCTGCTCTCCTGCCACAGTCCTCACGGCCGGCTGCTGCCCTGGTCCTGCGTCTGTGGCTGACGTGGGCTGCACACGTGGCCCCTACAGCACGGGGAGCAGGCCGGTGGGGGGCAGGCCGGTGGGCAGGCCAGGGGGGTCAGGCCAGTGGGGGGCAGGCCGGTGCAGGCACTCGGGGCAGCGTTACCGGCCTCTATAGTCTGGGCTTTGTTTGCTGGTAAGCTGTGAGGTTTTCTGCTTTACGTCTCACTTGTTGATTTTGACTAAAACTGCGTTGTAGGTTTCCTAAAATGATGATGTAGATTTACCAAGTAAAGATTTTCCTGTGAGACCAGTTACCATATCTGAAACGTTGAAAACAGTGTTTTTCTCAAAGTTTTGCTCACCTCTGACGTAAATTGTGAGGATTGGGACAGCAGAGCAGGAAACAGAGGAGAAACAGAGTTTAGGGACTGCCTATTAAAAAACTGAGATCAGGGCACCTGGGGGGGCCCAGTCAGTTAAGCATCTGACTTCAGCTCACGTCATGATCTCAGGGTTTATGGGTTTGAGCCTTGCATCAAGCTCTGTGCTCTTGCATCAAGCTCTGTGCTAACAGCTCAGAGCCTGAGCCTGCTTCAGATTCTGTGTCTCCCTTCTTCTCTCTCTGCCTCTCTCTCTCAAAAATAAACATTTAAAAATGTATTTTAGGGGCACCTGGGTGGCTCAGTCGGTTAAGCCTCTGACTTTGGCTCAGGTCATGATCTCACAGTTCGTGGGTTCAAGCCCCGCGTCGGGCTCTGTGCTGACTGCTAGCTCAGAGCCTGGAGTTTGCTTCTGATTCTGTCTCCCCCTCTCTTTCTGGCCCTCCCTTGCTCATGCTGTCTCTCTTTCTTTCTCAGAAATAAATAAAAAACCTTAAAAAATGTATTTTAAATTAAACTGAGATTTAATTTAATTACCATAGATTTGATCTATTTATTTATAACATTTATTTATTTATTTTGAGAAGGAGAGAGAAAAACAGCATGAGCAGGGGAGAGGTAGAGAGAATCTCAGGAAGGCTCTGTGCTGTCAGCCCAGAGCCTGACGGGGGGCTCAAACTCATGAACTGCAAGATCATGACCTGAGCTGAGATCAAGAGTTGGATGCTAAACTGACTGAGCCACCCAGGTGCTCCAGATTTAGTGATTTCTTAATAAAGAGTTTAAGTTCTTGCTGTCTGTGCATTTGAGAATTCTTACAAACCTTGAGTAATCCTACTTAGAAGATGTTGGATACTCAGTTTTAATGGGGAGGGATTGTACTTGAGTCATAATTGAATTATTGTCGGAAATCGGCCTCATGAATGTTCTAAAGTCCAGTCAGTAACACGACTTATGTGGCAAATCTCTGTGATGTACTTGGTGGGGGGTAGCAGGATAACATCTGGCAGGAGCAGTTAATTTGGGGAAGGTTGTCAGTCACGGCAGTGGGAAGGTGATGGCGCCCGGGGCCGTGAAACATGATTGGTACGGATTGCCGTGTTCACAGAGCAGCAGCCTGCATATGTGAAGAAGGAAGTAAAGCCAAAAACGTTTCTTGAGAATCTGTTTACATAATTTATTTTACAGAAACTTTTTTTAAACACATTCTTTATGATGTCATAACATTAAAAAACATCTTTTTGGGGATCATAAATGGGCTCCTAAGAAGAGTGGGATTGCAGACAGGTTGGTGACCGCACAGCGAGGTTAATGAAGAATGCCACTGTGTCCTTGAGCGTGGCAGGCCAGGGCAAGGTGGCCGCGAGGGGAGGTTGTCTCAGCAACTCTCCCTGCATTCCGGAATGGGAGGCGTGTGACACTGACTGGAAACACCCCGTCTGTGCCCGGTGGTTCCCTCTCCTTCGTGGCAAAGGACTGAGGCGCCCTTCATCTCTGCTGCAGTCGTGGTTGAGCTCGTGATGACTTGTGCTAAGTGGGGCCGGGTGGCCTGAGTCAGCGGCCTTGCTGCTCAGTCGGCAGTGCGCTCGTGTGCTTTCTGTGCCACGTGCTCATCGTGGCTCTTGTGCCAGAGGCCGTTTGTTTGTCCCTTTCCTTAGTGTCCTGTGTGCAACTCAGCCCTCTAAACCTCAACTTGTCAGTCTTTTTATAGTTTACAGATGTCACATCACTCCCAAATGAGCCTGGTTGTTTGGGCAACCAGTACAAAGTTAACTGTGTCCAACGCCAGAATGGTGGGGGGTCCGCAGTCCTTTCAGGTTGGTCAGAGGTTAGAGTGTTGTCAGCGCTCATTCGAGGTGACACACGTGAACAGAGGCACAATCAGATTGTAAGCACCTGAATTTACGAGGATTTGGAAGTTGGTGCCAAGTTGTAAGGACTGCGAGCGACCCGGTGCTCGGAGCCTGCCGGCCCGGCAGAGTGCATCTTCGGAAACCTTGGTCAGCTCGTGCCCGGGGCTGCTCTCTGAGAGTGGCCAGAACCTGCGTGCCAGGTCACTCTGTCCTCACCGCCCCCGCTCCCCACGACGGCACCGAGAGAGCTGCACCCTATCAGTCCATTTTAAAAGCAGCAGCCCTTCTTCCTGGGCTCATCCTCGCTCCAAAGGCTGATGATGTTGGCTCCAGGAAGTGTCTGGCTCAAGAGGGGGACACGGGGAGTTGGGTGTGCCAGGCAGTCAGGGCCACCGGAGAGGTGTGAGTGCTGGGCTCCTGGGGTCTCTGAGGGAGGCACCCTGGGCTCCTGGTGCTCAGGTGGTAAGAGCCAGGAGGTGAGGTGAGAGCTGGGGAAGGCAGTAGGCCGATCGGCCTGGATGTGGACTTAATACCATTTGGGAAGTATTGATCCTCACTTTCCCTAATGGGACTCTGGCCCCGCAGCCTCTGAACACAGGACCGGACAGCATGGTCCTGTCGCTTCGGAGCCCAGGGCACATTAGGGCAGATGCTCAGAGGCCTCTGGCAACTCTTTCTAATTGGTCCTTTTTAGATTTGCAGAAGCCCTTGGGGCTTCTGCCTGGGTGTGCATTTTCTGTGCTGCACGACGCTGTGTCGCTCTCTCTGGTGTAACAGCGCTGTTCTTTAGCTCTGAGGGCACGGTCACTGCTAAAATAGTCTACTCCAGAAGAGCATTTTTGAAAGAAAATTGTAGAATGTACCATTTCTAAATTGAAATCTCCAGTTTGTAGTTTGTGATGTCAGTTTTATGGATTTGAAAATCCTCCACTTCTGTTCCACGTGATTAATAAAACCCTTGGTTTTGCAGCAAGGACGGCCTGTTGGGGGCCACCTGGCATCCACTGCTGCCCTCTCTGTGCGCGGCCATCCCCACAGGTCAGGGCCTGCCATGGCTCTCCCTCTCTTTTGTTCTTGTTTCTCTTCTCAGCCCCAGGTGTTTGTTAAATTTCCACTGATATGTGGTGGGGACAAAAATTCCTTTAAAATATCTATATGTCACATTCAAAGAAGTTAGCAGATGGTCAGAGCTGACATGTTGTGATGAGTGTAACTTTATTTTTATGTAAATAAAAGGAGGCTCCAGGATCCTGGAATATCCTGCCTGGCATGTGATTTTTCTGTGGGACAGGTGGTTCTAGGCGGCACAGCAATCACACACGTTCCCTGTATCGCACATGGGACTCTCGGCCTCCCCCGCAAGTGAGAGAATTCATTATTTGCGGGTCCAGTCCGTCTGGTCCTGTCTGTGGAAACACTTGAGCCGTGACATCTGTGTGTAGTGGTGCAGCCTAGAAGCTGCCAGGCCCTGGCTGTGACTCCCTGCCCTGTGAGCTCTGTACGCATTTACCTTGGGTGCGTTAGGCCCCGAGGCCTCTGAGTATCTGCCCCAATGCGCTCCTGTTTGGGCCGTGTCTTCCGCAGTATGTTGCTTTTGAAATTTATCAAGTTTGGGCAGGTCTTTACAGAAGCAAGATGAAAGTTAGGTTTTGGTATAGAGGGGAAAAATATAGCCTGACACTAGTTGTGACCAGCAGTCTGTTCCCTGAAGACCTGGCCGGAGATGGTGGAGGCTGACTTGGAGCGAGGTTGATGTGAGGTTTGCTGCGTTGTGGAACTGGCGTTGTGCCCCGTGTCTTTGAGAAACCCCGGAGCCCCTGGTAA